TTTCTGATCCACTTTTATGGATTCTCTAGTCTTCTCTAAAGAACTGCCTTCATCATCATCATCGCCGTCCGTAAAGGCAGATTAGCGGTGCGTTTTCTTCCGCGGCTTCTGCCACGTCTCCCGCGTTCCCCGCGGTTGTTTATCCCCGCTGCATTCACCCATATGCCCGGTGTTATGATCCCCCTGTCCCCTTCACCACTTCTCCTGTCTGGTGTTCGCAGAATGTTTCCACTGCGGCCACACACCGCGGTGAAGAGGTCCGGCTTTTCGGAGTCAGCAGTAAAGAGGTCCGCACATTAAAAGCGGGTGGCCGCTTTATGTTAAAAAGTGCATTGTGGCGGCTCATCCCCACGTCTTCTCTTTGCAATGTTACTGTAATTAATACATTAATACAAGCATAAAGCGGCTATCAGCTTTTAATGTGCGGACCTCTTTACCGCCGAGTCCAAAAAGCCGGACCTCTTTACCACGGGGCCACACGGAGGACGTAAACTGTGGACTATTGTGGCACGGACTCCTGTCACTAATAATGTCTGTGTCTGCTTCACTGGACACCTGCGCGTCTTCCTCCTCTGAATCTGAGTGAGCCAGTACCAAATACTTCTCTGATCTCTGAAGACCTCTGGCTTTGCTCTGGCTCTGCTCAGAACTACTTCGTGTCGCTGCGCCGCAGGTGTTTTACAAACTCCTTTTACTCTAATACTTTAAATATAACCATTACCACAAAGGCCGCTCATATTAAAGGCACACATGTCCACAACTCCTCGTGAAAAGTATTAACAAAAATTACTGCAATAAACGTGTGTGATTTTTTTTTTTTCTGGGACATTGGACCTTGACCCCCCTAAACCAGGACTAAACCAGGACTAGGGGTGGGCGATATGGCCTAAAATTCATATTGCGGTATAATTTGGGACACAGACGGTAGACGGTATATATTGCGGTATAATTTGGTGTGTGAATTTCAATATAGGTTCTAGCAGGTTCTTTCAGAAAATAGTCAGGTTCTTTCAGAAAATATCAGTTAGAAATTGTACTTATTTATGTATGTTACAGTAAATATTATTCACTGTGAAAGCAATTTTTTAAAAGAAAAACATATGCATTCATTTAAAATATAAAAAACTCACAAATGTTGAAATCAAAGTCTGTAGGAGTTAGACATGGTCATTATTTATAGTGTCTGAGAGTTTTGTGCAGGTAGATGACTTGAGTAAAAGCTATTGTTCGTTTACAAAGCTGGTCTTGCCATTTGTTGACGCTCCCTAAGCGCTTTTCTCTGCGCTTGCAGTGAACTGGATGAGTCAATGGATTTATGTTCATTAAAACAGCGCATTGGATTTGTAAATGACATTTTGGCACAATTAATTTTGTTTAACGAAGTAGCTTTCGGGAGATATTGACCGCGGAGGTCAGAATCTGACGCTAACTTTCCCAAACTTCTGTAATGCTGCGGACACGGCACACGTATGGATCTATTTTGGCTCACACTGGCGTTCGAGCCTACGCCCCTTTGACACTGATTGGCCAAAAGGTAGACGCTTAAACTGTGATTACTGTGTGTGTATTTACCTCTGCTGGGGCCGCTGAGACAACAATACATAGACAGAAACACGGTGTTAATGCCGTGCTGTTGTTCGTTGTTTCCAGTGGTGTCTGCTAGGCTAATAGTGCTAGGCTAATGCTAGGCTAATAGTGCTAGGCTAATGCTGCTGAATGCCGGTTTGTTTTGGTCCTTTCTGCTGGCGTCAGAGCCTGCGCAATTTGATGACATAATGACCTATTGCAATATGCCGGTATAACAAAAATCTCTACCGTGGGCCAAATTTATATTGCATACCGCTTATACCGTTTATATCGCTCAGCCCTAACCAGGACTAAACCAGGACTGACAATGGGGGACACAGTAGTTGTTCTCATTTAGGCTCTAGTAGTGACTAAACTAGCGCAGCTAGCGTTAGCGTGTTCGCCAATGCGGAAGTACCGTTTAATAATAAAATAAACTTATGACGCGCCTCCGTGAAAACATGCTGCTGTTATTTAAAGTCTCTGGAAGGTCTCTAGACAAAGAGACGCTGCAGAGCCGCATTATTGGCAAGACCTTTACACAAAAAGCCGCTAGCATGATGCTTACAGAGCTAGCATCAAGCTAGCGGCTTTTTACTTTCGCCACTTCCGGCGGTGGTCTTTAAAAATAGAAGTGTATTTCTCTTTGAAAAGGTGTACCTGCATCATTATAATTGTATTAGATGAAAATGATCTCAGAACGACAATTATCACAATAATTTTTGAGACAATTAGTCGTCCAGCAAAATTTGTAATCGTGACAGGCCTACGCACACTTTTATTCATTTGATTTTTTATTCGTACATGTACATGTTAATGAACACATCACTCCGAATTGTAGCCATGGGCTAATTTGCATTTGTTGTCTCACATTCGCACTCACAAACACGCATTCCTTCATTCACCCTGAACTATTGTACATGTTTTTAGTGGTAGGGGAAACCGGAGTAACCGGAGGAAACGAACGCAGACACGGGGAGAACATACAAACTCCACTCAGAAAGGTCCTGTTCCGACCCCAATTCGAATCCAGAACTTTCTTGCTGAGAAGCCATCCACTCAGCAACCGTGCCACCCCTTGGCGTTCTCTTGATGAGCTTCACAAGTAATGACCTGAAATGGTCTTGCAACAGGCGAAGTCCCAGAGATGCTTGGCACTTGTTGGCCCTTTCGCCTAGGGCTGGGCGATACGGCTGAAAACTATATCACAATATAAGTGATTCATACAGGTTGATATCAATAATTTTTTATTTTTTTATTTTTTTAAACCTAAAAAAATACATTTGTTGAGTATGTTAGCAGCCCTTGTTTATAGTCACGGGGGAATGAGAACTCAGACTGGAGGCATATGTTCACAGGCAAAGTGTCCCCCATTGTCAGTCTTGGTTCACCTCTTGCTTTTGCCGCATGCATCCAGTCGCTTTGCCCACTACCTCTCCTGCACTGCACACGATATTCCTCACACAGACGTGCATTGACACGGCATTGAAAAAATGTTTTGCGGTTCCTGCTCGGCCGTGACAGGTCTAGAAGCCTCTGCCTACATCCCCCAGAATGCAGTGCACTTCTGACTCTGCTTTACTTCCTGTGTTTTCTTCCTGTTTTTTCTAACAGGATTAAGTTAAATTATCAAACTTTCTATTGACCCCATTTTCTATTGACACCAAACACGTGTCTCGCAATATATATCGTTTTTTTTTTTTTTTTTAATCGCCCAGCCCTACTTTTGCCTTCACTCTGTGGTCTGGCTCACCCCAAAACCATCTGGATTGGGTTCAGGTCCGGTGACTGTGGCCCAGCACCCCTCACTCTTCTTATTGGTCAAATAGCTCTTACACAGCCTGGGTGTGAATCTACAGTCAATAGTCATGAAAAGGAAGGACAATCATTGAGTGAGAAAGTTTGTCCAAACTTTTGATCTGTACATAAGGAAGACATTTTTGTGAAGTATTTGAAAGAGTCATAGTAAATTGTGTTGCTTACATATAAACAGGTGACCTCTGGTTTCACGGCCTGGTCTACCTATGGATCTATTATATCTCCTCCATAGACTGTAGGGGTCTTCCCAGCTTAAAGCCTCATCCCAATTCTTTGTACCCTTGCCCTGAATTTTGCGCGTGCCTGCAGTGGTTGTAGGGCGCTACAATACTTAGGGAGCAACAGGAGTGCACTCACACCCTTAAAAAGGCCCTTCGAGCGCAAGTGAGCTCCGGAGCACACTTGCGGGCAAGGATGATCCCATGATGCATTACAATAGTTGGTATAGCCAAAATTAAAGAAAACAACATGAAACACCCAGGCGCAAGTATGTGATGAACGTGTGGAAGCTTCAAAGTGTGCGTAAGTAATTTTGTTTAGTTTTTCTTAAGCATATGTTGGTGCCGTATGTGGTGATGTTCACTCGCAAAGCGGCTACAGCACGGCCATGTCTCTGGGGCTTCTCTGGGGCTTCAGAGACATGGCACATGTTATTATTATAGATCCATGATGTAGTTCAGAGACTGCATCGCTTTAACAGGGTGCTTTGGGATCCACGGCTGTACCCGTCTGTCTCTGTGTACGTATGTGTGTCTGTGTGTGTGTACGTTTGTCTGTCTCCGTCTGTCTGTGTGTGTGCGTGATATGAAGCAGTCCTGTACCTAAATAAACACAAACAAATCTTCATATGAAATACAATAAAATATGTCTCACTTTAATAAATACTTTGTTTCATAAAGTTATATCTGTGGACATATCTGTGGTGAA